TTAATCTAGAACAACGTTCACTCGGGTGTTTTCTACAACCCGTGTGGTTGTGGCAGCTGTTGGCTCTGCTACAAGTCCATCCATGTCTACAAATCCCAATGAACGCAGTACTACACTCCCCCAATCCGTAGTCATCCCCCCCCTTTAAGAGGGTGGGACGCCCAAGAGGGTAGGACAAAGCCCCGTGCACCTTACAATTAAATGTTCTATAGTTTCCCTTTCGCGGTTGCATATGCCGCATAGAGTGTCTATTCCATGAAACTTAGCCCTATAAGTTCTTGTTCTTAGCACCCCCGCTCTAGCTTCAAAGAGCAATGAGCTCCCCAATCAATTATGATACAACCGTTCGTTCTTTATTTCTTGTTTTTGTGCCCTGTATATTGTTAAAGCTGATTTCTCTGCATTCTCTCTTCCCAGAATTTCCTCTCTGTATCCTTTACTCCCTTTTTCTACTGATATGCTCTGATCGGCCCCATCTCGTTGAATGTATTTAGATCTCAGCTTGCGGGTTTGGTTTGCCCACTTAGTGTTTAGACTTTACACTTTCGCTGCCCACCGTGTATCATCAATTTCAGCTAGTCTTTGTTCAAATTTTACTTTACTGATCGCTTCTCTGCTCTCGAAATATGCTGGGAAGTATGTAGAAATCCTGCTTACAAATAAAAAATAAAGAACCAGCCGATCGGGCCACTGAGGCCACCGCATTCCCTTTCCACCACCCGATCTCGCGCGCTCTGGAAAGAGCGCTCAACAACGCGTAGAAGGAACCACGCGAATTTGCCAGAAGGTCCGGGGGGGGGGGGGGGGGGGGGGGGAATGAAAGCCGTTTACAACTCCCTGTGACGCCGTATTAGAGCGCAGCTCTTGAGGAGGAGGAGGGGAAGGGTGCTGAGGGGAAGGTATATCCTTCCTCCCTCCTCCTCATCCTGTCTGCTACTCCTCCCTCCGAGCGGCGTCACCGTCGCCTCACGAGGGTCACGTGACCTCACGGGGGTCATGTGACGTCACCGGGGTCACGTGACTCCTCTGAGGACACGTGACGATGACGCCATCAGTGACGTCACTGATGACGCCATCAGCGACGATGACGATGCCGATGACGTCACTGATGACGTGTGATGACATCAGTGACGTCACTAATGACGTCATCAGGGAGTATGCGGATGCCGATGACGTCATCAGTGACGATGCCAATGACGTCACGCGTCCCATCATGCACCGCGCGGTTACGCCGATGGCGACGCCGCTCAAGCCGGAAACGGGCGCCTAAGAGCTGCGCTCTAAAAAAATCCCACACTTCACGAAAAATAGGGACTCTAACCAAAAATTTAATAAACATTTACCCGACGTTTTGGGACCAGTTCGGTCCCTTGTTCACGGGTGAGTGACGGAAAGAAAGAACGCGCCTCGCCTAAATGCACATACGGATGTAGGGGGCCTTGCTCACGTCACGAAGCCCCGAGACGTAGCTGCTGGGCAGGGAGCCCGAAGAACGATTCACGTTCCCCTTTGTGTACTGGATAAACCAAGACTCAACGAAGAGCCGCTTTCGCGAATTCCTCTCCAAGGCCAGCACGGTGCCTCCCTGGAAGTCGACTGTGTGGCTGGCTGCTTCTGCGTGGTCCGCGAGGGCGCTCGCCTCCGCATCCTTCTTCCGGACATCATATTTGCGTGGCGTAAGCCTCTCTGCAAAGTTCTTACTTTCGCCAACGTATGAGGCCGGGCAATCTTTACATGGTATGCGGCAGACCTAGGGTGCCTACATGTTTCCGCTCCGCTTTAGGGTAGCGCCAACTTCTTGTTACCCTTTCCCAGATCCTCTCCCACCGCCATTTTTTTCAAACTTCTTATTTCGCTAAACGTAAACAACGTTGAGTCGTTGTAGTCTCGGAACTCCGGCAACACTGTGAGTCCACTTCCGCTTTCGTTCATAAGAGGAGTCAGAGGTTCAGCGCTCTCTTTATTCGCGTGTTTCATATTTTGAAGTTGCGAGCAGGAAGTGTCCGTTGCTTTTAACGAAACGCGAGTTCCCGCGACCAAATGGAACGCAACAGACCGGCATTGAACGCCGAAACCTCGCCGTCGGAACGAGAGCGGTGAGCGCTCCCTAGCCCTAACGAGGATTAGCGGTGTACTGCGAGCGCACGACCGACGAGTGTGACAAAATGGTCGACGAAAACAGCGGAGGTTGCCATGGTAACGAGGTAGGCAACACTGGTTTGGCGGCAACCATTGTTGCCAATTTAGCGGTTTTCCCGCTAAACTTGACGGTTTTTGGTTCTGTTTAGCGGGATAAATTTTTGTTTTGCGGGTGGCGGGATTTTTAGCCGGTTTTGTGTAATCTTGGCGGTTTTTTAGAGATATAGAAGTTTTATATCAATTTACTGTCGACTATGCACTTTTCATATCCATAATGATAAGGATAATAAGCCACAGCCGTCTTCGCTGGCTCTCGGTAATGTTCTGGTTTGTGAGAGTAACGCCTGTGACGTCATCAAAACGTTAAGACGTCGAATATCGGAACACGCCTTCCCGTTTTGTGCGCGCACGTTTGAACAGCATAAATGTTCCAATTTTTTTTTTTTTTTTTGACGTTCTTGTCACTGTTTCGTGAAATGGGCGCGGGAAGTGCGCTCAAAAGTTTAGAAAAGACTGGCTATAAGACCCCAAACTTAAAGGGCAACTCCGCTTCATTTTTGATATTTAGAAAACTATGTAGCCCTCTTCAGTATCATATAGGAAGACCCCATGTCAAATATTACGATCTAATTCTGTTTATATATTTAATAAACTGGCCAGCAAACCTTCAAGCGAGCCAAGTCGCCAAAATCTGCCAACTCTAGCGTGCGACGCGAGGCGCAATCATCAGCGCTGTCAATGCCACGGAGTTGGAGCAGCCGACATTGAGCCACCACGTCAGAGGCATGACTACGTCATTCTCACATTTTGTTTCTTTTTACTTCTCAGAGCGAAATTGAACGATGACGTCATGAGTTTCTCCTCCCGGTATTGGCTGACCGGGCGTTCACGTGATCACCGTAACGCGGATGCGCTAGTTTGCGCTGCCCTGCGCGCTTATCGGTCTGTTTCTCCGCTCCCCTTCTCCCCTTCCTCCTCTCCCCCGGGCCGCCACCGTCCACGCCATGCGAAGCGACCTGCCCGCGTCGCGTATCCTGTTTCTCGCTCCTTTCCGAACGTCACAAGACCACGTGGTTCGACGTGACGTGGCCATGACTCTGACGATCCGAGACCAATGTTGCCTGACGCAACCGAAGTTTCGGTATCAGCTGATGTTTAAATTAGGATTACACAAATAATATTCCACATTTCGCGAATCCGAAGACGTAGAGTTGTTTAGTAGTGCTTTGTGAATTTGAATCACATGTAAGCCTAATTTTTTTGGAATTGAGCGGAGATGCCCTTTAAAGACTGGCTACTGGAGGTTCCTGGTAATAGCAGGCGAGCCAGGTGCCGCTACTTCAAAACGGAACTATCTGCAAAGAATGTGGATTTGGTCATGCACGCTGCAACGAAGAAGCATGTTTCGGCCGCTGCACCTTTCTCCTCTGTAGACTCTACAAGTTGAACGGGTCTGACTAGTCACGCACTGCTGAAGGGTCCCTTGCCATGTTCGTATGCGCCCACTCTGCAATTTTGGCTTCGGATCACCTGGGTAAACTGTGGCGTGGCGTGACAGATTTCTACTCAAAAGGAAAGCTTCCTTTCAGATGGCATTGATATGATCTACACTGCTATTATACCTTTGTCAAGAAATAAAGCAAAAAAATAGTTTAAAGAGTCGTTTTGCGCTGTGTTTTGGATTTAGCAGTTTTTTAGCGGTTTTCGGGATTTCGACTGCGGGTTTTCAATTTTTGAGTTGGCAACACTGGCGGCAACAGGTATCACAAACGTTGTCGCCACCCTAAAGAGCGGAGCGGCGAAACATGTGGGCATCCTAGGTAGACCAAGCCTTGGGCCCCACAGTGTTGGGCACTTTCTTTGGGGGGAAATGATACTCTGTCTCAGATTTTTTTACTTTACGAGTGAAGGTAACATGAACACATTTCTTTACATTAAGTTGCATCCCCCATTCACCGCACCAATGTTCTCTTCGGTCTAGGTCAGCCTGCAGTTGTCCGGAACCCTCCCCGTTCTTTATACGTGTATACACAGCACAAGCATCTGCAAGTAATCTCAGCTGTGAGGTTACATTGACATGAATATCGTTGCTAAATATTAAGCATAACAATGGCGCCAGAACCGACTCCTGTGGTACACCAGACGTAACTTCAATACAATGAGACGCCTCGCCATTTAAAATTACACATTGCAGACGCGAACTCAAGTATGACTGAATCCAGTTTAGTGTGGTAATATCTATTGTCAAAAATTCAATTTGCGAAGTAAGAACGAGTGCGACACTGTGTCAAACGCTTTCCTGTAAAAAAAAACAAAAACAACAACACCAAAAAACAATCAGTCTGTTCACTTTTATCTACGGACTTACAAGATCATGATAGAGCTCGGTTAGTTGCGTGGTAGAAGAATAACCTATCCTAAACCCATGCTGAGAATCCATGAAAAAATTATGGTAACTAAGATGCTGCATTATCTGGCTATACAAAATGTGCTCAAGCAGTTTGCAACAAATTAATGTTAAAGAAATTGGCCTGTAATTTGTAACATCATTTTTGGGTCCCTCTTTGTGTATTGGTATTACATGAGCTACTTTCCAATCATTCAGCAATGACCCCTCAAGCAAAGACTGCTCTCCCCCTCTCCCTCAGTTTCTCTGCGCATGCATGTAGCCCACCACTTTGGTATGCGACCTGGCTTTGGTGGCTACGACAGAATGCCTACCACATGGATACTGCCGAACATGAGTTGGTCGTCTGTAAAAAAATCCCCATATCGCCGTAAAAAAAATAAATAACGACGCATTTTCTGAGACAAAAAATGGGTTTGTCAAAGAAGGCAGGATGCGACGGGTAAACAGGTCCGGTTATGTCAGTGTTCAAATTTATTTTGCAAGACAAAGTTCGCGACTTACTACTGGAAACATATATGTGCGCGCTTTCCAGAAGTCGATTGACCACGGTGTGACAATATACATGTATTGCATCTGGTTCTAGTCTGATCCCCTTTGTGTGATTTTATTGTCAAGACCTTTCATCATTTATAATAAATACGATTCAAAGAAACATTATACACAGAAAACACCGGTGTGCTTGGTTGCACAAAAATGCAAGACTGAAACATGTGAGAGGTAAGCAACTGCTCACTTGAAGTTCCAAGAATATTTTTAACGCACCTTTGTTACATTGATAGGACATGTCGCATGAAGCAATCTAATACATGGAGCTTCGCCTAGTAAAAGTTTCAATATAAAAATAATCCGATACATCTCGTGGTATCCAGACCACTTTTCAAATGGCTCACAATATAAACATAGTATTTTGACAGGTATACAAAGTCAGACATTCCACAGGAATTGCATAATCCTCTAGAAATTCCGATATCAAAAGATTGGTCAAAGTGGCATGTGCAAAAGGCAGTTGAAAGCATAACGCTAATACAAGAAATTAACGACATAGGACTCGCATATAAGGAGCAGTGAAATTGATGCTCATTATTTTATAATGAACTATCATTAACATACAAATGAAATGGCAAATATATATATTAGAACAGTACAATGAAGGCACACCTACAGAAACAATGAAAGAAAAAGCTAATGACCCACGAAACATAGCTGCCAATTATTGCTCAACAAAGGCTACGAAAAATAAATCAGAAGGCACACTAGCTCAATAACAGCACACTGGTATTTCTGAAATGGCTTCCTATGTGTTTTACTTATGCACTAAACTCGCTGACTACAATTATATTCATGACATAAAGCCTTTTTTTTTTCATTTAGCATGATCCTTATTACGTTACCAAACACACTCCAATCAAAAGAAAAAGATCAACAGTCTTTGCAATTCATAAAAGTATGACCCTTTGCACCATTCAACAGCATAAACATAGTTGTAAAAGGATGACACCATGAACCACTATGTTCGGTGAAGCGTTCAAACACGTCCCTTGTATCTACAGTGAGAGGAAACAGAGGATGGATCATCTTGTGAGGAATGATGCCACTTTGGAAACGACTATGCTGAGTAATCATTACAAGGCAGTGCTCATGACCACACCGGGAGAAAGTGCTTGTCCCCCGTTGAGCTGTCGCTGATCGCTTGGATCTGGGAGGTCGTTGGTTGGTTTAACACAGATTATCTAAAAATGCAAAGAAAAACATGATTTCTTTTTATAAGACATCATTCCCAACTTTAACATTGCAAGGCGTTTCAATTGTGATTGCTGCAAAGCAAAAGCATATCTTTCATTCGTAAGTGCCAGGCACAAAACTTATTCCTCATTCTGTTGGAAACTGAAAAGAAAGCATATCTTGCACCAATAATCCATTTGTATTGTTTGCAAATATCGGCCTCAACTTGAGTTTAGATACTTCACGAAGAAACTTAATAAAAAGAAATGAATACATTTTCCAACGGATACATTCCTTCCTTGATGGTGTAACATCACGATAATGTCCACTTAAAGCATAGGTCGACCTGTACGCAAAAAATATGAAAAACGGAACTTTCCTTCTGCAAAATTGGCAGTCAAGTAGGCCTAATCTCTGAACATATCAGCGAATCTCCGCTAAGGTCACGTTCGTTCCCGTTGTAGATTACCATCTAAACCAGAGACTGTATCCTTCTCCCATTGATAAATACATAGAAGGAAAAAAATAAAGATGCTTTTGGAGGTTAATTCTAAAGGAAACATTGCACCTGCTGGTACCATAATGAGTGAGAAACTACTCTAAAAGTACATTTCTTTAATGCAACATTGTCACCTACCTGTTCAGATGTACATGACAAAGGCGGACATAGCTGTATGGAAATACGCCAGCAAGCAGTTGTCACAAATTGGGAAACGAAAAAAAAAAAATGTATATAGTGAAATGATGGCACAATGATAGCTGCCCACCTTTTCGGCTTCTTTGTCTACTGAAGGGATGGGCGGAGTAAGTCGTCGTGCGACACAGCGTGAGTATAACTCTGGGTCTTGCTTTTGGTGAGCGTTTCTCCCTGAAAGAGGAAACAAGCACAAGCTCATACCTTTATTCTCCGATATTTTGGACATGTCCACCAAGAATAAACTTTCAAAGTGCAAGGTGGAAACGTTTCCGACTCTTCAAAAAGACGAAATTTTACTTGGCGTCAATGGAGGCAAAGGGGAGTAAAGGGAGAAGGAAAAGCAGTACAAGGCCCAATATTGCTATAATATTGCAGCGCAAGACAGATATATAGGTGATATATAATAAACAACCTGCACCCCCCCCCCCCCCAAAAAAAAAAAAGAACATAAAACTTTTTTTTTATTTGATTAAATTTCACCCTTTTCAGTAACTGGCCACCATTTTCCCACTGAAAATTTCAGAAAATCCCCCATATATAGTTTTTGAATAAGATGACGGTGTGTTCTGAAACTTTGACATCTGGTTCGATCCGCTAGCGTTATACACTTGGGCGGAAAATGAGCGTTCGGCAATGCGTAATATATTTGTGAAATAAAAATAAAAAAAACAAATTTTTTAGGGGGCACTTTGTAGAAGCCCAAACAAAATGTGGAGACGTCTTCAGAGGATATGCTCTGCCGTGGGACTGGTTATACGCCGACGCGCGGCTCTGACGGCACGCCGCCGCGGTGGCGCTGCTGTCGGCACTGCGCATGCGCAGATGCTCTCGCGACCCTGGTTTCTGCGCACGCGTGCTGGTATGGGCAGACGCTGACTTTGTCTGTAAACAGCGTGATAAATCTATCATGATTGTGCAGCGTGATTGGTATTCTACGCTACCACAGGGTTTAGTAGTCGGGGCAACGCAAAAGCTAGCGTACAAAACATTTATTGACGAATGCAAGCCTTTGCAATGATCGCGTCTATTATTACTCGGAATCAGTGAAAACAAAAATGAAAAGGAAAATGGCGATGGTGGTGAAGTGTCAAAACGTAGACTTTTGATGAGTCGTTAGGAAATATGACAGATACGTGTGAGGCTGGAGAGTAGAACTGGGATGGCTCCATGCTTTCGAATTTACCTGTGAGGAGGCTGACCAATATTCCCGTGAAGAATGTGACCATGAAGCCCAGTACGGGTACGAGGAGATGCGACAGGTGGTACAGGTTCTGAAGTCCCCTAAAGGCAAAATGAGAGAAAAATGAATAAGGAAAGCAGTAGTCGCAGCTTTTATACAAAAAAAGAAGACATCGCGATACGAGAGAGCATTGCCCCGTGCCTGGCAGAATCGACAGCGTACGCGGTTGTAATGTGGTGATACGGGTCAATTGGTACGTAGCTAAGGAAAACAGCCCTGTCTCGTGCCTTTTGCCTTGGTCCTCTCGTTATTTCGGTCCTGTTTTCCTCCGCACACGGTTGCCGCGCGAAGGTGGGGAGTTCGAACGCCGCCGGCCCACCTTTCTCTTCTTCCGATATTTGTTCGTCTGAAAAGTTATAGCGATCTCGGCTGTGATCGCCAGTTCCGGTGTAGAACCTTTCTGAACATAAAAGCAGCGGTGGCGCGCCGTTTTGTGTGTCAACCTTCCCACGCGAGATGCGTTGCGCGTTAGTCTTTTAGTTTGTAAGCACGCATCCGCCTTATTAAACATTAAGTTTCAGTCTACGTTTTCTTATCCACGACGATATAAAGTATCACTAATGGCCCCGAAAAAAAAGATATAACGTCCATATCCCGCGAGACGGCATTTACCGGGTTCATTTTCGTGTCAATCGGCACCAAACTCCCGAACACGTAAAAACTAATTCGGCTAAAGTAATTTGCGGACAACTGAAAGTCAAATGGCGACGAATGTTTATTCGCCATTTTCAGACTGCCCAGATAAGCATGCGGGGCGAGCCGGCGCGTCAGCGCGAATGCCTGCACGACCGCAACGGAAGTCTAGACAGGAAACGAAAGAAGCGATCGCCGAGCTGACGAACTCGGAGCAGAGGAAGGGACTTTCGCCCAGGACGACGTCTCGTGCTCGTGTTCCAGCTACGCTACGAGCCATCCCAGCCAATCCTGCGCCGTGACCGTCACGTGACCACGCCCGTCGTTGCATGAGTCAGTCCCCGAGGTCGTGCAATAGTCGCACGCGATCCCTTTGGCTCCGATGGTTCGTGGCGTCCGCTGTGGCCCATCGTAAGGTAAAACGGTGCACATTGGGTGTATCAACCAGTGTAGGAGGCGTCTCCGAGAGTAACAAAACACGTTCCTCGTTACTTGCGAATAAAAGGAACGCATTACCGACCTACGTTACCTCAGTATAGAAGGAGCGCGTTACTGTTACCGATGAACGGTAACACGCGCTACCCTTCGCGTTACTTTTTTATTTGTGAAATTAAAACGTTTTACCGTTTCGACATTACAGGTGTACGCATAAGCCCCATATGTCGAGGAACATGATGCTTATGCAGAAGCGTAAGATAATTACCCCATATTTTTAGCGATTTTAATTTTGAAGGTACGTGAAATGAGTGCATTAATTCATATAACTCAGCACCTAGAAACGTAAAAAAAAAAAAAAAATTTGAAGCGCACATTTTTTTAAAAGTGTTCTAAAGAAAATGTAACGAGGTGTTTCCCATTGCTCTAATTAAGTAATGTAAGTGCGTTACCCTTTGTTTTGAAAAATGTAACGTGCTACCGGCAACTCCGTTATACTTGTAACGCATTACCGCCAACACTGAATCAGCTAACTGGTGTCAAAACTTGGAAACAAAAGTTAGTACAGGCTACGCGTGTTGAACCAATCTATTATTGTTCACAGTACCATTGAGTGCGTCAATATATATATATATATATATATATATATATATATATATATATATATATATATATATATTCATTTTTTGCGACGTGGCAAAGCGGCTATTAATTAGCTAACTTTTTGCGTGTTCAGCTTCACGGGGAACGCGACTGCGCGTTGCAGTGATCTCAAGCTAATTAGCTCGACAGACTATCGTAACATTACTAGTTTATGTATATGGTCGTACAACTAACAATATACCTCATTCTACGCTAACAAGTTCTCCGCGGATACGCCCATCGAGGGCATGCTCACGCGACTCGAGATAGCCGATCAATGGGCTCAATCGCGAGATCGGAACGTTTAGCGGTGAACAAGCCAACGATCGGAACCGGCAAGCGTGCTTCGCCACGGAACGATGCGAGATGAGGGGAAGTTCACCTCGCAGAAGACACCAACGTGTGGGCTTGTAAGAGCGGCTCTTGTGCAACGCACGATGGAGGTCAGAACGAGAGGTGGACTGATATGAGACAGTTAACTAGCGCAATTACACATCATTTATCTAACATCACCCCCTGCCCCCCCCCCCCCCGAAAAAAAAATTAATTACATTTTTTTAAGGAGTTTTTGATAGGTTTGAATTATTTTTAACGTTATATAATTTGTTTTTTCTTTATACAATGCAGCACCGAGACTAAACGCGGGCGCTGTGAAATCATGAGAAGGAAATAAGCTTGACTTGAGAGCAAAACTTCATGCTGGAAACCGACCGCGCCATCGAACGGATGTGACATAGATGATTCAAGTAAGTTCTACTCCTACCCCCGGTCACACGCCTCCCCGATTGAGGTAGAAGTGAACAACGCGTTCAAACGGTTTTTTACGTACACTAAAGGCCGGTTCACACATTTGTGTCGGTTGCGTTCGCAGCAACCGAAACGGTAGCGACAATAAACACACGGAGCCAAGTATTCTCCGCGCACAACGTGGCAACAAGAGATGCAAGAGGTAGCTTCGCGAAGCAATCATGCGTCATGGTTGTCCCGATATTCGGGCCGTTTCGCGTCGATTTGGTTATTGGGATCGCAACAGTTGCGAACGGGTGAACCAGCCTCAAGTCTCGCAAAGAAAATCCCAACCTTCAAAACACATACAGGGTGCTTCTTGGGGCTTTACAGATTCTTCTGTAAAAAGAAGTGAAAGCTAAAAATAATCCGGTCTATGTAGGTGAGCTATACACCAGGGTGTGTTTGCTTAAGCTGGTAAACTTTAACGGGACAGAAAGTTAACCGCCCATCCCTACCAGGTACGGGCAAGTACCTAACCAAGGTTCACGAGGGCTGGATGCGCGATAGCTCCGTATTCGATTTATGGGTTGGTAGCTGGTGTCACCTACTGGTCGATCTTGTAGCGATTATGAGTGGCTTTCGTGAAAAACTTTCCGAAGAAGGGGGACCCGAGTACGCGCGCTGCCGGGTTAACAGGACGTAGCGCGGCACACATTTGAGCTTGAGAAATGCATTTGGTTGCTCGTGGTACAAATAATGGGTAAGGTAAAACCAAATGAACCCGTGTTAGGCAAATTATTGTATGTCTAGCTTTCGAAGTCAAGACGAGCCTCGTTGCGATTTTCTTCGCAGCGCAAAAAAGGACGACGAAGCTATCTGCTAGAAACGGTGAGGTACAAGTGAGCCCTGAAAGGCGGCCGACATACCGCCAGCATGGTTTGCCAGCAAATAAGAACTGTACATAAAACCTTCTTCGCGAAATGAAAATCGCGTACTTCGGCTCAGGTGGAAAGTGATGCGCGGTCTGCTTCTGCGCGACCGACCGGGTCACGACAATGCACTATGATTATAACGACGTTGCCATGCTGAAAATTACCCGTCTCTCTAGGGTTAGGAACGGCCAGAATCGAGAGACGATCTAAAAAGTAGGGTGAGATCGTTGCTCACAATTTGCGATTGAAGTGAGGTAATGCAAAGGCATTATGATGAAAGGCATTATGATGATGATGATGAAAGCCCCCTGCGCTGCTGACAAACGTGCCCGACAGCGTAGCGACTACGACATATTCGTTCCAAAGCGAGGGGGCACCGCCATGTTTCCCGCCGCCCCTGCTCTGCCAGTCACATGACCTACAATTCCCCCTCGTATACAGAAACGCGGTCGACTTTCTGCCGCGGTTAAAGTTAACCAGCTTCGAGCGAACGGGCCGAGGGGGGGAGATGGTATAAGGGACTAATCGTCACCATAGATCGGATAATTGCCTTTCTATGCGGTCCATCGTTGTCTACCGGGCCGTAGAACGCGTTCGGAACGTCCGTCCACGACCCATGACTCGGCATTTTTGCCTGGGTGATAAGCGCTGAAAACGGATGTCGACTTCGTTTCAGCTAAAATCCAGACGCAGCCGACGCTACGAGGTAAGGGGACCAATCAAGCTGGGTCAAAAAAGATCAAGTCACTAGGTTTGTTTTCTTTTTTTTTTTCTGTTTATAATTGGTTCAGCGATGAGAGAACATGTACACAAACATGACATACACCACGATGGTGCGCTTTTGACGCTCTCCGATGGCTGTTCGGCGGTTATTATCATACGCCCCCGAAGACTTTTTCTTCTTTTTACTCCTCCACCATACTTTCCGCAAACAAGACGCCGCTACTGGGCATGCGCGGCGCTAGCCTCGTCTGCGGAGTTCCCGATTTCCGTAGCGGGTTGCGGACAGCGTTCCTAATAAACAGCAATCTCCGTGAACGCGTGCTAAGATGCGAACAAACACAAAGAGGCTGCGTGTTTTGTGTTCATATTACGGCGCCACGAACTCGTGCCCGATCTACTCGAGCTTTAGTATAAATGCCTATATCAACGCGACCCCTTCTTAAAACAAAATTCAAACCTCGTAAAAAGAAAATACTTCAAACAGACATATATATGCATATATACACATATATACATAGAAACGTTTGCGATTTACCGGAGAAATTGCTGCCAAGGGGCCGGTCTAGAGCAACCACAAACTAAGGTATATCGCGAAGTAACGACATGTCAGCTAACATGGTGCTTAAAATCGCCGTTACCTGCAGAGACCCCGAAGTCTCATCTGAAATGGTAGGAAAGAGTTTTCGAATCGCAATGACCGCCAATTGCCCCCGCCCTGCACCGATACTCGTTCCAACCTCAAAAACCGTAATAATAAAATTTAAAAAATCCGTCTTTTTGCGGGGTATTGATAATTTCCCCCTTTATGTAGAGAACTAAGATATATGTAGGTGCATTTTATCGCTTCTTCCTCCGACAACCAAATCTTCACTGTTTCGCGCGGCGTATGAACAACAATGTGCAAAACTTGCATTTTAATGCGAACGCATTAAAAAGAAGCTACGGAGCTTCTTGAAAAAAAAAAAAAGAGTTAGAAGAAAATTCTAGTGTATTTTTAAACCGTGAACCCGAATACCCAAACCATTTGCTGCGCAAGAATTGTTAAACGCGAGAAAAGGCGAAAGACAGCTGCTGTCGGTGACGTCATCGACGGATCTTTTGGCTGCCCAAGGCTAGGGAGGCGGAGCTTCAGCGCTATTTTGAAATTGCTCTTATAGCTCTCCGACGTGTCGCATTGAAATATAACTGTGATATCTGTTATTTTAACGGCCGAATGAACACAATTCGTGTTTTTTCTCAAAACTTCCCTTTAACTGTTCCATAAAGCGAACCGACGTCATCAGATTCGAAGCTGCGCCAAACGGCCTCTTCCCTTGTCTCAATGTCGTCTCAAGCAGAAATCTGATGGATCGGCTCCCATTGGCTGGTTCGCGTCATCAAGGAACGAGGCTCCCATTGGCTCTCGCGCGGCGTAGTTCCAAAACTCCCCACGAGAGAAGTCCTCTCCCTGGCGGCGCAGCGCACGCAGCGGCCCGGTCGCAGGTCACAGGTGCAGCGGTGCAGGCCTGGCCGCACAGTCCGCCTGGCAAACTCCGGAGAAGGTGCACGGCCGAAATCAGCGCGGCACGGCCACTTCACGCGAGCGCGCGCTCGGCCGTCGGCCGGCGAAAAATTGCCGTCTACATTCATAAAATGTGGACGGCCATAAAAAATATTTAAGCGTCCTCGAACTTCTTTTTCTCCCCGAAGTGAAAACGAGTTTATTTACTAAAATGTCGGCACCCACGAGAAAATCGGAGACTGGAGGTCCGATATTCCAAGCGCAGCCTAAGGTGTGGCTCTGGGCCGGCCAATCAACACCCTGTAGAAGACGAGGCCTTTTCCCCCTGAAACGTCACACCTCTGGTGCACGGCAACCCTCGTCAAGCCTTAGCATGGTTGCCGCTCTGAGGCGGGTCGGGGGTCCTCTCAAGATGGTGCAGGTCTCACCTTCTAGGTGTTTCGGGGTGAATACGAGGCGCACACTCACTCGGGTGCAAGAGGCTCGGCGCCGATCCGAGGGTCTTCGGTGACGTTGACGTTGGGGCAGGCGTCCACCGACGTGGGCAGGTTCTCTTCCCGCGACTCGTTGAGCAGCGACCCCACCACCACCCACAGGCAGACGGTCTGGCCGAGCAGCAGCCCCGCCAGGGCACCCTGGGACGCGACATAGTTGAGTCCGGGGTGCAAGATAGACAGGTGGGGAAACGAGAGCCAAATGAGCGACCGGATTGTGTCCCCCTCGGTTTTCCCTTTTTCTATGGCGCCATCTATGTGGAGCACCGCCAACTCTCACTCCGGGTGGCCGACCTTTGGCGACTGGCTAAACTGACAGAGATGGTTTCTCGTAGATTTTCAATGGAGGACCGCCGTGCTCTCGTTTTATTTTGCGCACTCTCCCATAGAGTTCCCTGCAAATCCGATTCCGATTTTTTTTCCTCTCGCCGCAGCGCCATCTGTCGCAAATGGGGGGTACCCGCAAGCAGACGAGTACACAATCCGGTCATGGCGCGGCGGTAGACTTCTATGGGCCGTTTCCCCACCCGTCTATCTTACACCCTGGTTGAGCCTATAGACCAACGCGCTGTCCACCAACCACTTCGCTCTTGCCCAGTCGATGCGCGTGCGCTGCGCATCGAGTGGGCAGACGTAACTAAATATGTAGCGGAAGTACTGAAAGTTTAAACGGGGGCTCCCTTAAAAGCGAGCATAATTCCATCTCCAGATCACAGTGTCTTGATCTTTCCCGGTTCAAATTGGTAGGAGGGCCACGTTCGGACTTCACCCGTGGCATGTCCTCCAAGTACATGCGTGCAGCTCACCTTTCCGTTGCAGAAGGGCAGCAGCACCCCCATCGTGAAAACTCCCAATAGGGGACCGGAAAGCGCCCCAGACATGGCAAACGCTGCCTGAAATGCAAATTAGTTCGATCATTCATTCTTCGCCTGCCTTAAAGGCCCTATTTAGGGGCATCACATAAAGGGGTAAAAGGGAAAGGGGGGACATTCCAAAGTTATAGCAAGTAAAGGAGCAAAAGAAGCAGGTGCTTCTCAGCTTACAATGCTGTTGCTTTAACAAAAACAAGTGCTAGAAAGAGGTTGGTGTAAAGAGTTATGGATATCATAACATCGGTATAACATCGCGAGCATTGAGAAAAAAAAAAACAACCTTACATGTCGATAAAGTCGGGAGCCACAGGGACGGATATAAAGGCCCCCCCCCCCCCCCCTTCCTTCCCAAACCTGACCCATAAATCCGCCCCTGGAGCGACAGAATGCGCAGCATGACCTGAGCCCCAGCTGAGTGCTTTCTCTTTCTACTTTGTCTTATAATAATATAATCACGAAATTTTCTCTTATTATAATATATGCATGAAATTTGGCGGGAAGTGTTCTCCATCTAAATTGTGGAGGGGGGGGGGGGTGGAAATGGGGTACTTTTATACAGTAAAATTCATGTTTCCCCGATAAATCTAAAGGGAAATTACACATTATGCATTCACAATATACTTATTTTAACGTGTCCTAGTTTTAAAAAGTCCGAGGACACCTAAGCTCTTCTTATGAGTTGTGAATGCGAAAGCGTGAATGTTGTTCCTCCCCTCCCTTAGTTCATCTGTGGTGTACTGGCGCGGACGGCTACGTTTCGCTACTGCCTCCTCCGGCAGCGCCTGACACGAGAGCGGCAGCCGAGCGCGCGCTCTCGTGAAGTGACCGCCAATGGCTATGCAGGAGCCGTTTCGCTCGGGAAATGGGAGAATAGGCACTCCTTTCGCGTTTTTTCGCGGTTACAGACGCAGCCGGCTCTGCTCCATGGTATAGTTAATGCTTTCGCATTAAAACACCCTGCGCAAACGAAAGTAGTAAGCAGGTGCCCACTTAACCCAACTTCCGGGAACACTTTGCAAAAATTAACGAGTAACAAAATACGGACACACACAAACACACCACGGAATTTCATTGGCCAACAGACGCAAGAACATAAATAGGCAATAAAACCCCACAAATTACTCTCGTCTACAGCGCCGTTGTCGGCAAAGCGGATACTCACCTTGAGGATGGAGCCCACTCGTCCAGCAATGAAGGCCATTCCAATAGTTAAAAACCCGTAAAAGGCAGCTAAAAAAGCACGAGAAAAGAAACGCGTCACAATTATGTTGTTTCAGAACAAACCCCGCCTAGAATAACCAAAGCCCGCGGAAAGCCTCCTCTACTTCCACCTATAGCGTGGTCGCACAACTCGCCAACTGGGCGCAAGCCCAACGCCGAGCGCCCTTGGACGCGTTGATTGGACACGAGGTCCATCCGAACGCCGACGCAACGCTCGCGTTCCTTACATTCTCACGCTCGATATCTCACCGCGATGACGTAGAAATGACGGTGCACGCGCGCTTCGATTCTTCCAGGCGGCGTTGGCCAGAAGCGCTCCAAAATGCGAGCCGCCCGAACAAAACACAAAACCCAAAGCTCTCAACAGCTACGGTGTGCGACGGAAAACCAAGTTCGTATATAAACTTAGCAACTCTCACCTTCGGGCGAAAGAGCTTGCGTCGGCGTGCTCAAAACGACCAAGAGAACGGACAATGTTCACTCATATCGTGATACAATCGATATACTTTGTTTCAGATTAAGTCCAGACGTAGCCGAAGGTATACACGCTAACAGGACCAATCAAACGGCATCTAAAGCGCAAGTACGCTGGGCTTTTTTCTGTTACGATTGGCTCAGCGATGATAGAACGCCTACACGACGAACACACCACGACGGTGCGCTTTTCATGCTGTTTGATGCACGCAAAGAGCCAATCTCTGCGATCTACGAAATCAGCTCAGCGAATGATGAGGCGGAACATCCGTTTACGCCTCAGAATGAAGTCTGCGCTGCTGTATTAGGCAATGCAAGCGCGACGCTCCGCATTGCGTAATGCCACAGTGCAGACTCCATTTTGAGGTCTAAACAGATGTTCCGCTTCCATCATTTGCTGAGCTGATTTCGTAGATCACAGAGATTGGCTCCTCGAGTGTTTTGCGGGTAAGTAGACGCGCAGGCATTCCTTCGAGTGTATAGTCGCCGACAGCTCGAGAAATGCGGGGCGTTGGTTCTTATGTTCACGCTTCTTGCTGGGGGATTTGCTCTTCAGTGCTCTTATGATGGAGAAATAGAATAGGCTGCGGGCGCGACAATAAAGACCGGAACTCGTGTGTCTGTGTTTTCGCTGTAAAGATTTTAGTAGAGTCGCCAACCATTTAGGCTCAGCAATGGGCGTTCTCACCCACCTACGGCTTTCGTGACATAGGCCGCCTGCCTCTCGGTGAAGTTGGACCATTTGACGAGGAAGTCCTCCCACGTGACGGCAGCCAGCGAGTTAAACCCCGAAGACAGCGTGCTGAAAGACAATTAGGTCACATTTAATGAGGCGCGTATCATCCCGTCTCTAACCCTGCCAACGCTCATCAACCGGGTCAATAAATGTCGAGTCATTGGGCTCTGGACGCATGCGCGTCGTGCGATATTTCCCAGAAGAGAGCTACCACCGCGTGGTCAGAATTTGTCACACAAACCAGCGGACAAAAGACGGCAGCGCTCAGAGGGCCGTTATTGAAATGGCCCGAGGCAGGCTAAGAACGCGGCGGAAGCTCCGCCTCCAGCACACGCTCGTTGCCCCCAGACGAGCTTTGGTGGCCTCTGGCTGTGTTGCACGCGACAAGTTTGGTGTTGCGCGTAGGCGACACGCTGGAAGCTTGGAGTCGTGGCCCGCTTTAACCAACACCATAAAAGTTGACAGCCTGACATTACACTCGACAATTCCGTCGATGAAAGCAGGGTAAGTCCCATAAGAAAGGCGCCGCCGCGAGTTCTTGGCAGAGCCGTGTATTGGGAGAGTTTGGCCAATAGGCGGAGCAAAGGCCGCCGCCAGCGCCGAATATTCCCCCCGCGCTTAGAGCGTAAACTAAATTTGTGACACAGCGTCGACCAATCAGGAGACCGCAACGTCACAATATTGCAAACGACATTCAAAGCGTGAAATAGAGGCGTTCAATCTCGGCCTCTCTGCTCCATCTCACAAATGTCGGCAGTGAAGACAAAAGTACAGGCGCGTGAACCTAGCTCAGCAAAACGCTTTTGTTTGTACGAGAACTCGTGCATAGGAGCCACTTTCCAAAGCCACGCGCCCGTGCCCATGCCTTTCTCTGCACTGCTGATGTTGGCTTGTTAGAACAGCGTCCTGTGACTGGCGGAAAGAAAACAGTGCAAAGGGTGTGGCGCGCGAGCGTCTGGAGACGCGGAGTCCCGCTCGGCTCGTGCGCTGGCTTTGGCAGTGCTTTCTTTCACCGTCTCAGCTGAGACGCTGCTTCTAGCAAGTTGGCTTTGTTTCGAGCGGATGTTCGTTTGTTCTACTCTTGAATAGGGGCGTGACGAACACCTCGCACGCACAAAGTTTTCAGTCACTGAGAGTCACACCTTTTAACTCTAGCGACGCTAAAACGGCTTGAATTAGTCGTGTCACAAATTTAGAGCTCACGACCACCGCTAGGGGCTGTTTCGCGGCCTGTGGTTGGCCCCGAGACGCTCGCCTATTCAAACCAATGTATGGCCAAACTCTCTCGATAAACGGCTCTGGTTCTTGGCCGACCGCAGCGACGCTTCCGGTCGCGCATGTCGCCAACACTGGCAGAGAAAGCGCTCGTAGAGACGGTCAGTAGGGCCTACCTACGCGGATTATCGAAGCCCAGAAGAAACCGCTCACGACGTGGACGTGTGGTCGACTTAATTGTCAACAACCCTAAATCACGCTCAAAGATGTCAAAAACGTTGAAAAAAGAAGAAAAAAAAAATCGTCCCGAAAAACAAAAAGTTTGCTTTTTGCAAAGTTACACAATGAGTGGGCAAGCAACCGATACTTCCAGCAAGCACATAATTTAGAGATGTCTTTTCAATGGCGCAACGGAAGACAACAAACCTGTTCCCGGGATCTTTTCTTTTTGAACTTTCACGAAACGAAGGGACGCTATCGCCGACACCGCCAGACGGAAATGAAAAGCGCCTGGCATATTTCCGGGAGGGCTATTCGAAGCGTACATGCCCTCGACCTTTCCTCCACTCAACGTTGTGTTTTTCCTTTCGATTTCCTTGTAGTAGCTGCTAATTTGACAAAAAAGAAAGAGAGGTTGCACCTCAGCTTTCACGCGATTCGAACAAAAAAAATATATATATAACAAAAAAAAGAAAGAGAGGTTGCCCTTAACTTTCACGTGATTAGAAAAAAAAAATATATATAAAGAACTTCACCTGATTCGACGATACATGACTTAATAACCATATTAACTGCCTATGAAGCGCAAGTGAAGTTAGGGCACTGTTTTTTTGACCATACAGTTTTGTTTCGAGCTTGCAGTTTGTCTTTTCAGATGACCAATGCAATAAACACTCGAAGCAATATATTTAAGATCCGATTTTAAGAGTTCTTGCTTGGCAAAAACGCAAGTGTAGTCTTTCAACATTTTGGCAACCCTCGTCCAACTTTATCTATGGTTCTTTTCTTTTTATATTAGTATTATGTTTGTGATTTCTGCACTCGCTCATGTCCTTAAGCAAGGGTTGTTCGACGAGCGGTTTACTGTCGCCAGTCCGACGGTCCCAGGGCATGCTGACGTTCATTCCCTTATTGGCGGAGTCTCGGCGGTCAAAGCGGAGGCGAGAGGACGGAGAGCAGCCGTGCATGATATTAAATAAAGACGTTCTTTCAACTCAACTCACGGAGCAAGACGGAAAGACTTGTGTATAAGTAGTAGCGTAATCAAAAACGGAAGAGCACACGCAAAAGACAGCGGGGAGGTAGGTCCCTTCTAGGTAAAATTCCGTGTTTTTGGAGTTTATTTCTCGTCGAATTCGGAGGGTGCTTTTCCGAGTTTATTTTACGGCGATATTACAGCGATAGCTGTTATTGGAATGCATTTCGCGGTTTAACGTCGTCGACAGCGCTCCATATCGACGCGGGACATTTTCGGCACTCCGCCAAAACATTCCACGTGCCGCTGATAACAAGATAACAAGCAAGCAAGATAAGATGCATGGTCAGTAAACAGTCCCTGCCGGGCAATCTGACATTGTACTAGAATAGGTGCCCATATTACCCAGAATTAGCGCGCACAACAAGTCCCGGGAGATACGCGGATAAAACTACCTTAGAATTTTACGACGCATTCTGTATCACAAAGCCAGGGGAAAGCAAGTGCGCTAGTGCCCCGTCGATGCTCCTGACAGACACAGAATTTTATTTTCTAAACGAATAAACAGAAAGATGGTATTAATAGTGCGTGTTTGTTTCAATAAACCTTCATATGAGGGTACACTTCGTCTTGTCTACTCCCTTGTCCCTGTTTACTCGGTGCTTTTTCGTTTAGCACGTGTAACTGCTTGTACCGAAGTGACGTGCGAAGACACGCTCCCCTCCTACGCAGACAGCTGAAATGCTGTCTACTTAATCCACCCTCCTTAGCTCCAAAACGCTATGGAATTTTCGTCCGGTGTGTTTCTCGGTTTAATACGAAACGCCTATGCGAACTCTCTGGTGCACGCTCGCACCTCTACCGTTTATTCGCTACATCTGCTCCGAAATGACACATTTAACTGGAGATCCAGGGTTTATCGGAGTTAACGGTTTTTTACGATTTCCAATTTTTTTTTTTTAATTTAGAGTTCAAATTTATACTGCTCTTATTTTTTTTAATATAAAAAAGTAATGTTCAGACAAAAACGTACACTAAATTCATAAAACAATCACTGGTATCTAACGATATTTCCGCAGCTGCATTTGGCAATGGCGTCATTGAGATCGGCAGTCCTAAATGTCACACAACAAATCTTAAAAACAGCGTTACTTCAAAACACGTCGGTACTTTGAAATTGTCAAACTCATAGACGTATAAAACCTTCAGCTACCTTCATCATCCCATGAATTCATGATAAAAAAAGTCCTCCTCACTCTAAGAGGCCCGAATAGTATGGTCCAAACTGGAAACCGGAACAGTGGCTTTTGTCGTGGTCCGGAAGTATATTGGCCCATTGTACTGAACAAACCTCTTGTCAATAATCCAGATTAAAAAAAGAATAAACACAAAAAAGTGAATTTCAGTTATATTCGTAAAATACCGTCTTCTTCTTTTTTTTTTTTTTTTGCCATCGTGATTTTAAAATTTTGAGTTCTTCGGATGAATCCGAACTGTCGAAAGTTTTACCAGTGAGTGTTTTTCAGAATTTATCATATTTATCCGAAAACACGGAACCCAACTTATAGGAGAAAAGGCAGGAGAGTTTGGGGCCGCCGTGTAATTAATCGGCGGGTCTTAAGCAATTGGAAGCGTCTTTTGACGTCACTTTGGCTTTGGTACTGGGTCGCCAGTCTTCGGAGAATAGAGCGCTTTTGAAACCCCATCAAGCAACATGGGCGGTCGCCATTTTGGGAGCACAAAGCGCATGACTGGATCTGAGTCTTCGCCAACTGCTGACGCAGCTGCACTCGTTTTCGATACGAGCTGATCCAAGTTCACGCCGAAAGCTGACACCGCCCTTGAGCGGGCCTGCCGATCAAAAGGCCAGAGGAGTTCAGGCAGCGTGCTTGCGCCCCCAGGTTCAACTTCGCTCGCATTTGTAACGAAAAAAAGAAAAAAAAAAAAGAGAGCCTTCTGTGTACGTGCAGTGCCATACGATTTTCGTGTGACCACACCATTGTTTATCAACAGGAAGTTAGTGTATATAGTTGGCAGCACGACGTTATGGTGCCTGGAATGCATCTTCGACTACTGCGCGTGCCGCACGCTTCGTCCTTATTCTGTCTCCCCCCCCCCCCCCCCCACACCCCCCGTTCCACCTCTGCGGAACGCTCCGGTTCTCAACGATCCTGGCGATACGACAACGGTACCTGGAAGTCGCGCATCTCCGACTGGTGCGTTTACACCGTCATAAAAATAATGGCCCTTCAATTTACGCCTGATGACGTCATAAAAATGCCACGCTGTCCCCGGCAGCGATCCTGGCGGTGTTCCCAAACAACACTGGTGAATGTGGCAGACACCTGTTCTGCTGCGGGTCGCTCTTTTCAGCTTGACATTCTACGAACGCTTCGACAGTCGAGACGCTGCGAGAACGACAGCGACACGCTCGTACTTTTCGTCGGGACTTCCGGCACAAACCGCCAGGACCGCGCCAGGACCGCGAGCCGCTTTTGAGTCGAAAGGATCGTCTGCAAAAAGTGCCGGCTCTCGGCGCCGTATGCTCGTTCGTTGGCGGCGTTCGTTGCGCCATCTCTTGTCTCCCGTGCGAAACGGCGCCGTGTTGTTTGCAGACCTGTGGCGTCGCTGCGTTTCCATAGGAGCTAAGCCTTTTTCTTTCTTTACTTTTTCCTCAGGTAAGTTCACTCTTTTCAAACTTTACAAAAAAAAAAATGCACCATCTGTGGGCATCGCTGCACAAAGTCGTAGCGCGATAGGTTAAGAAACCGAATTTTCCGGTCGATTTAAAAAGCCTGGCGTCTCCTTGTTTCACCCTGTACATACACCGGAAGCAAGACATGGCGGCGCCCAGAAGCCGTCCTTGCAAACCTGCGTAGAGCAGTCCAGTCAACAAGCCCCCAAAACTTGCAGCAGCAGCCAAAGGTTGGAACAAAAAGCCCTAGAGAAAAGTCACGAACTTGGAACTTTTTACAACTACTGACATTCTTTGAAGCGCCAAAAGCGTGGCGTTGCGGGTTTTAGAAAGAAAATGCCGGCAGACAGTGGCAGAATGAAGTGAGAGATGTAATTTTGTTAAGTAACCCCCTAGGCGGATTTATTGAAATCGAGGAAAACGGATTAGCCCCGAATAAAAGCTATTAATAAAAAATTTTTTTTTTTTTTTTGTTTACAGTTTTTTTTTAGTGTTGACCTGGAACACAGCCTCCAATGACTGACTGCGAGGCTGCTTCTTCCTTCGAAGTCACCCATCTCGTTTCTTTCGGTTAATTGGTACGGAGCCGTTTTCCCAGTATTTTGGTCATGCGCACGTTCTGAACAATCCTATGCCTCTGTCCAATTTTCTTCAACATTAAAGCTCCCATAAATACGGATTTTTTGTCCAACACCAAAAATTGCCGCCGGAAAAGACAAAATCTGCGGGCAAAAAGAAAACCCCGAAATAAGACACTCCCAATTCGATAATATATAAACCCGACAAACAGGGAACTCCAGCTACAACACGTGCGTTCGTTAGTCCGCGGTAGTTTCTCTAACGCATTTCGTTGCCATGTCGGGAGCACCCCAAAACTCGTTTCAGGCACCGCAGAATGGCGGCATACATTTCCACCGAGGTTTACCGTGCGTAAAATTTAGGCGTTTTGCGTGGCAAACCAACGAAAGTATATGACACGCCCCATCGGAAGACTGATCATTAATTTGGATCACCTGCGGATCTTTTGACTTGGAACCGAAGTCTTTGTTACACAGCGCCTTCTCCCTTATATGCTTCCGTCAGATTGCGGGCACCTCGGCCGAGATGCGAGCCCGCCACCCGCCACCTGGAGGCGTTGTCATATTAGCACGTGGTGCGACTCACCTGAGGGCGCCACTGAAGACGCAGGCGACGAAGAGACCAGGGAGCCCCGGCACCACGCTCAGTGTCTTCATCACAAAGAACGGTATGAGCTGGACGGAAGAACTTCAGTCGGTACACGCCACATGTAAACTCAACAAGCAAAAAAGAAGAAAAAAAAAAAAAAAAGCTGATTCGGCAGAAACATTGTTTACATTAATAAACAGGAATTAAAACATAAAATATGTTCACAAATCTCTGTAATGCCAAATTAGAGCGCAGCTCTTGAGGAGGAGGAGGGGCGGGTACGGAGGAGAGAGTATGTCTCTCGTCCTCCTTTATCCCCTCCTCTCCCAATTTAGTCTCTCCGTTAAATTAAGCGGGACACATGACTTGATGTCACGTCACCTATGGACAAATTCAGTTTCTCCGCTAGATTTAGCGGGAAAATCGACGTCACGTGACCTCAACACCAATTAAATTCCGCGCTAAATTTAGCGGGGAATTGAATTGGTGCTGACGTCACGTGACGTAAATTTTCCCGCTAAATTTAGCGCGGTTACGCCGACGCCGCGAAACACGGAAACAAACGCTTAAAAACTGCGCTAAAAAAAAATCATTTCTGTCGAGGGAGTTACGCGGAGCAAGTCTGCGCCATACTATCTTACCTCACTCCAGAACCAATACCAGAAGTGTAGCCGAGCTAATATGGACTGGACCGTTTCCCGTCAACGCCAAGAATGTGCAAAGCAAAAGGAATCTTTTTTTTTTTTTTAATTGTTCATTTTAGTTTTAGGGGCGAAACTCCTTAAAGGGATGCTGAACCGAAATTTTGGGTGGAAATTCTTGGTCGCAATGCATACATAGCATGTCCTTTACCTCTAAGGGCCGGTTGCACCAACGTCGCTTATCTTAACCCAAAGCGGCGCTTTCCTAAGCCGGCTTAGCGCCCTAAACCGAGCTTAGGTAAGCACGGGTTTAAATTCCGGTTGCACCAAGGTTAAGAGGGAGCGCTCCTCCAAGCCCCATAGAGAATACACGCGATTTTCTGCCATTTTACGAAAATTCTCATTTAATAACCGTTACACCGATTTTTTCAAACTTTTTTGCTATAAAAAGATTGATTCTTCGTCCAACTATCCCACCGAGCATATTTTTCATAAAAAAATTTATTATATTTTATATTAAATCGTGAAATCGGTCGGAATTGGCTGTTTTGACATGTTTACGTTAGAACGCGTTTTTAAAAACCTGTGAATTTTTAACTACAAATGTGTCTGGTGGGATATCTGCGGACTTTAACACGGAATTCAATTATATTAAAATTATAGCTGTAAGTACATCCGTTCTTTAACTACATCGAAAAAACTCAACCAAGGTGTTGTGGCTTGTTTTCCTCGTTTGGACGGTCAAGACTAGTTCGACGAGCGCCGCGTGAGGGCGCCACCATTTCGCCACGCACGCTGCTCTGATTTTGTATTACTCCGCGCGCATGCGCTCTTCAGTAACGCGCTTGTGGTGGTGCAGAGACGGCCTGACCCGTCCAGGCAGAGTGGTTTTGTTTCTCGGGGTGGGATGTCAGGCGGATAGCTGTGCGTGTTTTCATAACTAGAAAGGCCGTCCTCGCAGCTATGGGTCCAAAGGGGTATAAATATGGCAAGCGAAAGGTCTCGAAGTCGCAAATAGAGTTTGCACGTAAGCGACCCTCTGCTGAAACTACGGATGGTGAGGTTTCAGGTGAGGTTGAGTCATTGTGTCGTCGCGCTGCGAGAACGAATTGACTCGGGGTGTTGGAAGATGCCGCTTGGGAAGCCATGCAACAGGCCGGAGTGGAAGAAGCGGGGCGCGCGAAGGAATCTGGCGAGATCGATGCCGAAGGCTATCCGCTTGTTACCGTCGTTGCACACTGTGCGTGATCAAAGCGATCGTACAGGCACAAGAACGACGCTCCTTCTGGTACGGTAAGTACTACATTTCTTCCTCTAAAAGGGGCGCGAATTTTGATCGTAGATATAATATACATTTCTTTAGAGTGCGTTCGAAAGAAATCCGAAGCATGTTTTTCTCGCCACGAAAATACATTAGTCTCTGTCGCTAGGCTACATTTGGGCGGACGCTGAGCATTTGGCAATGCGTAGTTTATTTTTATGGGGAGATGATCGTGGTTAGAATCCCTCTCTGTTGTATGTGTATTTCCGTGAATGCAAGATTTGTTTCGGCAACTGGGGTGACGATTTCTCACGAAGCACTGGAAACAGTTATGCTTTTTGTGTGCTTGTTTTAGTGACCGCTGTTTTATGTACTATATATACCGAATATACGCGGTGCCATGCAGTCAGTTCGTCAGACGACGTTTTAGACAGCTCGTTTCTTCGAAGCTGCACTTTTTCAAGGATAAATCGTTCCATCGGAAATAGCCGGCGTTCGTTTCATCGATACACCTTGTGACGTTTCGTCTAGTTTTTCTATTATGTGCGTGCTCGCGCTTGCGAACGTAATTGCGCGTCCGTGTCTGCTTGCGTGTGCGCCTGCATGAGCGAGGATGCTTATGTGCGTGCCCCCCGTGCACATGCGTGTTTTCATGTTTACGCGTGAGTATATATACCCGCGTATCTGTGTGCGTGTTATACGTGCATCTGCGTGCGTGTTTGCACGCGTGGGCGTTTGCCTGCTCATAAGTGCGCGTGCCTGTGCGAGTGCGCGCGTGCACGTGCGTGTGTAATTCGTGCGTACGTGTGCGCGGGTGTGCTTGTGCGTGTGTACGTGAATTTGCATCCGTGCCTGCACGTGCATCCGCGTATCTGTGTTCGCGCATGCGTATGAGTGCCTAATTCGTGCGTGTTTGAGTGGGCGCATGCATACTTGGGCGTACGTGTGCCCAAGTACGCACGTTGTCGGACTTGCGGGAAAGGTTCGAGAAGCTCGAACCTGGTCGAACTCGAACGTCGGCTGGTTCGCGACACCTTTAGTACTCACGTTGCGGACGGTTGGTGATTGGCCGCTGATAACTTCACCGTAACTTTTTGCTTTATGTTTAGCGCCATTTTTTATATTTCTATTCGTGCGATTGTAATCTTTTGCGATTAAACTCTCTGTACCCTTTCCTTGTGACCTATGAAACGATCTCGAACGCCTCGAACAACAGCGACGCTTGCGTTCGTTCTCGGGGCTAGTAGGCAAGGAGGTTACAAGTATTTATATGACGTCAGACTGCCTTTTGATGCCGAGTCACAACACAGAAGTATGGCCACCGAAGGCAAAAGCAGTTATCCCATTGGCGAGTTTGCTTTGTCTTTCAATTTTCACAACTCTCCCGAATCAGTTTTGCTTTATCGTTTGGTGGTCATGTTTGTGGGCGATGACTCAGCACGTGACTAGACCCTATAACCGTTCATGGTGTTTTTCTCTGTTTTTATTTTTTAGATTGAACGATTCTGCTGCAGTGTGGAACGAACTACACGAAAGTGCTCAACCTTCTACGAAGTCTTCCGAGGAGCAGAACGTGTGGGGATCAGGACTATTGGAAGATATGTTCTCAAGTCATGAAAAACTGCCCGGTCGCCAATCATTACAAATTCTCTATGAAATACTATAAGAAACAATCAGTGTCGTGAAAATTTGTATAAAAATACTTTGTTGTGCAGTGCTGGTGGCTAGTTGTGATGAAGTAACGAAGGTATATGCCGGTAGTTTGTCATATATGTATTCGATTATGTATTTATTTTTAAAGTACCTAATATACAGTGTTGTTTTTACTTAACTGGAACGTGTTTTTCTTTTAAAAGAGGGGGAGGCATTTACCTTAGTGCCGTATTCACTGTGCCTTTAGGGGGCTCGGCGAACACTACATGGGAGATCATTGTAGCGATAAGCTGGGTGGGTAAATAACTAAAATCTGCTAATCAAGTTTCCCACGAGCGGGTTTATAGCTCGTATTGCAATTATATATTTAAAGTCATTAGACGGTAAATAAATTTGGACGTATTGCTAAAACCCAAAGGGATTTTAAGTATCTAGGTTTTCAGCTTTTTATGGCCAAAACATAATTGGCTCGTTTGGCCACGGGAATCGCAGTACCGCTATTTCTGCATAGTTGAATAAAGCAATCACTCGCTAACACATCGTACAAAATAAATAGCGTGTTAATTGCAAACACAATGTTTATAGTGAGAAATAATATTCCGGAGCGCCTCTCGCGGCACAGATCAATTGATAGTGTTTTATCAATGCCATTTATGTAATACAGTATCGCGAGAAATATATTGTGTAATCAAAAAAATATTTATTATATATTGACAGTGCTACTGGCGAACTCTCCACGCCGGTCCACTTGTAAAGACGGATTTTGAAGTAATGTCTTGTGATTGTCTTTGTCGCCTCGTGTCCCATGTGTTTGTAGTTGACAAGTGTTTATTTGAATCCACGGTCAGTGCATTCAACCGTACGTTCAGTGCAGTTTCGCTTATTTTGCTCGAATTATTAAATTTGCATTTGTTTTAATTTTCTTCCCTTTAGTTGTGTCTGTGCGCCGCTGTTTTTACTCACATGAACACATATACAGGGTGATCCTCGAATCAGCCGGGACCCCTTCAACCGTCGCCGCGGACCACAGTTTGAGAACCGCTGAACTAAGATGTGCTAAATATCTCGAGTTAATTCCGTGATTCGTCATGTTGCAACTGCTGTTTTAGAGACAATTAATATGGGCGGCTTTATCTTGGTAGTGTACTTTGAAACGAGTTTAAATTTATCCTACTCGGAATTCGTTTTATCGTTTGGAAGAGCAAGGCTGATGGATTTTTACGACTCGTTAGAGCATGAATGAACTGGCTTAGAAATAATTACTGAACAGTGAGAGCGTCTCGTGAATTGGACTATTGGGGAGCGGATCGAAATATAGGGGCCGCTTTGTCTAGATTGTTGTCCACACAGTTGGGTGTTTATTTTGAGAGCATACACGTTGGTTATGCACTGCAAGAGCCAGATGGGCTCTGCAAGAGCCAGACGAAGATTAGACATTGCGACGGCGAGGACGCAAGCCCCGCGTCGCCGTACGTGACGACGGACGACGTTCTTTCCCACGAACGGCAGTGCATCTTCAAACCGAGAGTAC